ATCTCTAGTGAGCCTGGTTTTATCCCCTTTCTGCTTCAAACCTAGTTTAAAGCCTTCTCGATGAGCCTTGCCAACTCATAAGCCTTTTCCCCCTTGGAGATAGTGGAACTCCATGTGTTGCCCGCAAGCATGGTGCCACGTAAACCTCCCCATAATAAAAACAAAACAAAATTCTGCTGATGGCACTAGCCTCTGAGTCACGTGTTAATCGGGTGTTTTGTCAGAGTGAAACTAGTTTTGGTTCAAAATTATTGACTTGTCTGTGGAAGATAGGGAGGAGCTGTTGGTTACGTATTTCATCTCAGTTTGTACGTGAATAATGGGATATATGATTTCCTGACATTAGAAGTGGGATTCAGATGCCTGAACATCAATGTCTCTTGCACTGTAGACATTGTCAGTTACCCTGTGCTATGGTATGAACCTCCCATGGGTCCTTTTTAAGTCGTATGTGGCTGTTGCAGATATCCCAGGGATTAAGGTGATGCATCCAAATCTTATTTTAACTAGACTTAAAAGGGTTTCTTGTGAAGGGACGTCTTCCTGTGAGGGAATTGCCTTCATTGTTGTCATAAAACTGCCTGTGTTTTTGTGTTGTGGGTGTGTTTTGTGGGGATGTGGGGGTTTTTTTGGTGTTATTCACAATATACATATTTGTTACTGTCCTTTACTATGTTGTTTGATCAGCAATCAAGTTAAAATCGGTGATCAAATGTAAATTAAGAAACAAAAAATACTTTGAGGTAGGGGCCTTCACGCTGCTTGGGAGAGCTGCTTTGCAATGAGAACTAGTAGATGGAATATGTGTGTTATTTACAGCTTTTACTTTTGTTGCAAGATGCTAGTAAAATAAGAAACAAACATCCTGAAAAGAAATCGAACATGAGACTTGCTTGGGGGAGGAGACAGGCAGGGAGGAAGAAAAAGCACCTTTTTCTTCTAATGGGAAAAAACCAATGAACAAAAACATGATACTCTAGAGGGAAGGGATGCTATCCACAGGGACCTTCATAGGCTGGAGAGGTGGGCCTGTGCGAACCTTGTGAAGTTCAACAAGGCCAAGTGCAAGGTCCTGCACATGGGTCGGGGCAACCCCAAACATGGATACAGGCTGGGCAATGAGTGGATTGAGAGCAGCCCTGCAAAGAAGGATTTCGGGTGTTGGTGGATAAAGAACTGAGTATGAGCAGGCAATGTATGCTAGCAGCCCAGAAAGCCAACCATATTGAGCTGCATAAAAAGGAGCGTGGCCAGCAGGTTGTGGGAGGTGACTCTCCCCCTTGGCTCTTGTGAGACCCCACCTGGAGTACTGCGTTCAGCTCTGGGGCCCCCAGCATAAGACAGACATAGACCTGCTTGAGGTGGTCCAAAGGAGGGCCACCAAGACAATCGAGGGGCTTGGAGCCCTTGCTTTATGAGGACAAACTGAGACACTTGGGGTTATTTAGCCTGAAGAAAAGAAGGCTCTGGTGTGAGCTCATTGGCCTCATAAAGGGGGGCTACAGGAAAGATAAGGAGGGACTCTTTGTTAGGGAGTATAGTGATAGGACAAAGGGTAACAATTTTAAACTGAAAGAGGGAAGATTTAGATTAGATATTAAGAAGAAATTTTTTACCATGAGGGTGGTGATATACTGGAACACGTTGCTCAGAGAAGTTGTGGATGCCCCATCCCTGGGAGTGTTCAAGGCCAGGTTGGATGAGGCTTTGAGCAACCTGATCTAGTGGAAGGGGGCCCTGCCCATGGCAGAGAGGGTGGGACTAAATGGTCTTTATGACCCCTTCCAACCCAAACCATTCTATAATTCTATGTCTTTTACAACATGTTCAATACACACACGTATGTACAATTAGTTCCTTGAGCACAACTCCTTAATTTAGAATTTTTTCTATTGAGCTGATTTCATAACCAGGTTCTTAAAGCAGTTGGATAGTCTCACTTTATAAAAAGTGAAATATCAATAGGATGTTCTAACACTGTTTATGTGATATAAGGGATCACTTAACTTTTGAGCTTAAAGATGTTTGTATCAGGAGTTAGGTACATATTTTTAAATCTAGGATTAAAATACTGTTGTAAAAATAGACGTTCTGATATCATTCTGAAGGAAGTATGGTTCTTTCCTCTATGTTATATAACAGCTTCCAGCACTTTTGTGTGCATCTTCAGCTGCTTGACAAAACTTTTGACTGCTTGAGGGAGGGAGGGGATGAGAGGAGGAGGTATAGATGAGAAAATTTACTAGTGAGGTGCACAACATTTTTGCTTTGGTGGAACAGCACCCTTCCACAGGACTGCTGAAC